CATTAGCTTATAACATAACCAAATGGTAACTTGCTAAGGAGTGGAATTATTTGAATATTGGACTGAAATTGTTCAGAAAATTGATCAAAGTGGTTCATGTGGAAAAGCCAAAAATAGATGTTGAAAGATTTGATTGAGTTTTTCATTTTCTTTTGCTAGTCTCTCAATCGATAAATGATTTTTGAATTGAGAGAAGTTAATGTTGCCTCAATCTGATCAATGAAACTTTTTACTCAACAAAATGGTCAGTTTTATTGCAATTTTATTGAAATCAAGTGAAGGGAGTGAAAATTTGCTGATAAGATCATCACGATTGCTGATGGAAATTTGTTTTTACAAATCTCTTCATTTAAACATTTTCTCTATCAAAACATTCTCTTCTCTTTCAAACAAGCATTTCAATGAAATACTAAAAAATCATGGTCAGGCGATAATTTGAAATTTACATGGAAAAAAGATGACAATAAATTCAGTTTTATATTCAATTTAAATTTGAAAAGTAAACAGCAAAAACAAAGTCAATTTTCACTTCGTTTTTTCATGTTTTTCACTTTTCCATTCACTAGGTAAACATTTTTCACTTTTCATTTAACCTTTTATCAGCACTTCCATGAGCTAACAAAATGAATTATTTCTAGATTCATAAGCAAACAGGATTAATAGAGAAATGACTTTATTCTTGAAAAGTTTCAAAACATTTTGTGAGCCGATTTTATGTGTTTAGATTACATGGGATTATTGAGGTTCAAGTCGAGTATCAATGGGAGGAAAATTGTTTTAAAAGGTTAATTTGGTTAATCATAGAGTTTCATTTTCTTTCAACCCATTCATTTGTTTTCCCTGAATTTTGTTTCTTCTTCTTCTGATCATTCCTAGTCTCAGTTTTTTCATGTACAATGTCTAATGACTAATGGTAACTTGATGAAGCACAATAAACTCTGTTATTTGGCCATTGATTTGAACGCACAATCAGATTGGTTAATCAAGTAAAACTTTCAACTGTTTTTCCGTTTCATTTCATACGCTTTTATCCTCTTTTTATTTGCCTTGCATTTTTGCCTGGTTATCAACTAAAGATTATCCGCCATTTCATGCTCACCAATTTCATTCAATTTCTGTCAGATTCAACCTAAAATTGTAAAGTCAATGGTCGAAAGGAACAAAATTTTATTCTTTTTTTGCAAATTCGCCTTTTCTTCATTTCTATTCATGGTATTACTTTCATTGTTTGACCAATCACCTTGAAGTAAGTTGATTAACTGTGGCCATGGATGGACAAACCTGTGGATGTTGTTCAATAGCAATGATTTTTGGGTTTAAAAGTTGCTTCTATAAATAGTTCGATACTTTCCTAGATTGGTGGTTAGGAAACCGCAGGGAACTATCAGAGTTTTTGAATAGAAATTGAAATAGAATTCACTGAAAATTCAATTTTTAGGATAAAGTCACGTTAAATCAAACATTTTCAGAGACTGAGCTCAAGCAAAATCAATGGTCACATTGAAAGTCAAACGGAATGTTTCAATAAATGAATCGAAAATTCGCAAAGAAATTGATGTTGAAGAACTGTAATTACGGAATCAAACAATCTTCAGTAATTAGTTTCTGCAGCTTCATTAGATTATAATTGATCAAGAAATCAGACCGAGAAATTTGAAGCGTCATCAGAATGCAAAAATCAATGTCGATTTGAAAGCGCAACAGAATCTCGTGCGATCAAATTTCAATAACATTTGTTCATCAGAAATGATACAAATAAACTTATGCAGATGGTTATTAGCAGAATTTTTTATCTGAGTGAAACAGAGCATTGAATTGCATACTCGATTAAGGTTAAGAAAACAGTCCTTTTGGTTAATCTGTTGTTAATAGAAATTAGAAGTGAATAAGTTTCAATGAGCTCAACAATTTATCTTCAATCTCTGCTTTTGTTTCAAGAAACTTTTTCCACAGAAAATCAGAAACTAATTTCGACAAAAGTTCGCCTTGGATTTTAAAAAGTGTTTCAAGTGTTATTAATAATAAGACAAATGTTTTGTAAAGAATAAATTGTTTAGCAATTTGAAGAGGAAAGGTTTGACCAATTACACCTTTCACAAAGCTGTTTGTATTACAATGACTTTAGACAGCAAAATTTCATGACAAACTGTTACCGAGAAAAAATGAACTTGAACTATTTCGTTGGAAAAAGTTGTCAAAAGTAAAGTTGCAAAAGACTATTTTCACTGGACAAATAAGAGACTTGTAATTATCTGGACAAAAATGAACAATTTCAACTTTGCGTGCAAAGAGAAATGCAATCATCCAGATTCATTTAAACACAACATGATGCTTACCTTCAACCATTTCTGTATGAAAGTACAGAAAAATGTTTCTCATGAAATTTACTTCTTCTGCTTGTGTTGTCATCATTTTACAACATTACAACATTTGGGAAAAATTAAAATGAAAGCGAAAAAAATGACAGAAAAAAAATGAAATGCTCAACAACATTGAGATTAAAATTTAATCACTTTTGTCCAGAGAACAGAACTGGACAAAAGGAAAATGCAAAAATATCGAAATTCTGTTGAAAGCACTTTTCATGAGCAGCTTATTGAAAAACAATTTGTCAACCAAACTCAGCAGAAAACGAACAAAATTTCGATAAAATTTCAAGTCTTGAAATAATATGATAAGTTAACATTCGATATCAATGATCGTAATGTGAATCAACAGAAGAAACATTGTAAGGTAAGAAATATAATGCAATAATAGAAGTGCAAAGAAAAAAAACATTTCGAGATTATTTTTCAATATCAATATGGAAACAGAATTGATAACTTGAATAAGTTTCTGTTGCGAGCAACACTTTTTCATCCACTTTTGTTATCTTATCCATTCATTTGTGTTGAACAAGTGGCAGGAAAAGAGCATAAACGATTTAACATGATCATGGAAAGGAGAGAAACTTTTGTCTTCTATTCCAAATCAGCACCATGCAAGTTTCTTTTATCATTGCCTCAACCGATAACAACAATTTTCATAGTCTATTGAGTTATCAATTGTAAGGTGAGAGAACACGAAATTTAAAAAAATTTCTGCTTCAACTTTGATTGTCGAAAACTTTGAATGAAAAAAGAATAAAATTTTGAATAAAAGACTCATGAGATTTCAGAGCTTCAAATGATGGAAATTTTCTCTTATATTCTGAGTTTATTCTCACTGAAAAGATAATGTTATAATATTGAGTTATATCCAAGACGGGTTTTTATTGTTTATTATTGATTTTTAGACAAAAGTTAAATTCATTTTTTGCCAGATTTTCGTCAAAAGAATGGCAAAAAGCTTTCAGATGGCTTCAGACGCTTTCTCTTTACGCTTAAAAATGAAGGAAACAAAATCTCTTTTCGCTGGAATTGAATGCGAATTTTGGAATGGACTTCTTCAAGTTCAAAAAACTTCGAATTGCAAGCTTTTTACAGAATTTAGTGAAGATTCGAGATTAAAAGGAGTTTTTTAATCGAATAAAATGCTTGTCAAATCGATATTCAAGTTAGTTTAGTTTTAGAATATTTTTTTAACAACTCGGAATTTTTTTCTTGGATTTTTTTGAAAATTATCGATAGTTTTTGCTTAAAACTAGCATTTGAAAGAAATCATTAAGAAAAGTCAATAATTAACAGAAGAATGCTTGAATTTGCGATTGAAAATAATAGTCTTTTGATTTACTTTTGATAGAAAGTCACAAATCAGAATATCACAAAATCTTTGGTTTTGTTTTTTGATATTTTCTAGTCTTTATGATCAGCTTATAAAGCCAATTGAGAGTATAATGAAAACCTAGTAGAGAGCTTATTGTAAACTCTATTACCACCAGCAATAAGAATCAATGTTCAATCTATTCTTATTATGCTCACCATTATCATGATCCGTTGGGGGAAAAAAAGGTAAAAGCAAGGAAAGAAGAGAAAGAAAAAAGTTTTTTGAGCTCAAAGAGTATATTCAAGCAATGGGATGAAATATTTAGCTAATGTTTAATGAAATCTTACAAAATCTTCAATTGACTACAACAATTGACAATGTATATTGTTTAATAAATGGAGACATTTTACCAAAAAAAGTATTGCTACTTTAATCAGGTAAATATTATCAAAAAATGAAGGTAAAACTGGGAGTGAAAAAGGCAAAGGAAAGTCAAGAATGAAAAGAGTAACTAAAGCATTCAATTATTATCAATGAATAATCTTGACCTGATTTTTGTTGCAAAGAGCGAACCGAAAAAATGAAAATCAAAGTTTGATCGTCTTTTGATTATAGCTTATAGTTGATGATACATAATAATAATGATAATAAATTGATATCTTAGTGTAATAATATTATGTTGCTTCTTGAAACTCTTTTTTTTGCTGTTCGCTTTTCAATCAATAAGTTGTTTGTTGACGATAATGATGATGATGGATCAAGTTGATTGATAAGTTTGTAAAAGGAAATCAAAAGAGGAAAGTAAAGGGACAAATGAAAGGATTAAATGGCAAAACAAAAAGTGTAAGCTCAACATAAATATGATATTAATATTCATGGATATTTGAGGAAATCGCGATTCTCTACTTGATCAACAATCTGGATGGGAATCATTATGTACTTGTAATACTATTACCAAATTGTATCGAGTTTAATATTGAAGTGACAATTTTGTTTCTCTGTTAACAGAATGCTAAAACCTGGACTGGGAAGGAACAGGGAATGATGAACATTTTTATTCTTCTTTTTGTTCCATTCAATTGGCATTCTATTCAAATGAATAATCAAGAACTTGCAACTGTTTGAGTCACATTTTTTTTCTTCTTGTTTGGCCTCTCTTCTCATTCAATCATTGCTGAATCATGAATGTCAACTTATTGTAATGACCGGTGGAATATACAATTTTTTTCTTCTGTTTCGTTCTTTTTTTTGTTGCTCTTTTTCGTTTGTTCGTTGGTTGGGAGAGAAAAAAAAAGTTGGAAATGAATGATACTTACAACTTGCCATTCTCATGAAGCATTCTTGCTCATCAAGTGGATAGTATTTAAGGTCCATGGGACAGGCAAGGAGTAATGAGATTCTTATTGAATACAAAACTGATCCATCTGGATAGATGCGAAGAAGCACATTTGGCATGATAATTGTATGGAAATGTCCTTCCTTTTCATTGGAGAAGAACAAGTCAGGCTTCCAGATTCTATTTGGATCAGTTAATGTTAAAAATTTAATCTGCTCATTATTGTCGTTGTACTGCAGCCTTTCATCTCTCCATTCCTCACGGAAAGTTATCTGAACTGAGTATTCCTGAGTAGAAACAAGGTAAACAAAAGTAAAGGTTAATTAATGAAAATGTAACTCAATGTCAGGAGTGAACAACAATTGTAAACTATCAACGACTATCGTGACTTGAACATTGGCTATGATTAACCTAAATAAGGTTATGAGATATTTAACAACCGATTGATGATTTTACTGTATAATGTCACGGCACTACAGAGCTCTACACCACATCAAGAGTACCTTTGATGCCCAATCAGTAGCTCATGGGCGATTTTTTATGGTAACTTCGAGCTTTTTTGGCCAGCTAATCGAGAAAAATTTCAACGATATTCTAAACCTTTTCTAAAAGTGAATGACACAATTTCAAAGAATCATGAAAGTTTTTCTATTAACAGATTTATTTCGATCTATACAAATTTTTCTGTTCTGAGTTCTCTGTTGGCCAAAAGACACTCTCGATTTTCATATAATGAATAAGAGCCTCTTGACATTATACGTTTAGGATTTAACTTTTAACCATATTTGTATCATTGATGGAACTCTTTTATCTGATGTAAAGTACACCGCTCTCGGCCTTTAAGAAGAGTTGGAATCAAGTTAGCAAGAGTTTAATTTAGGAGTAAGAGTTATCAAAGCTTTTATTTAGATTTGTTGTTAATCGAACCTCGACTGTCAAGTCGACTTCCATCTGAACCTAATGTTACGATAAAGTCTTCACTTGCATCTCAACTTCTTTCGCCATTTACGGTGAGTCCGCTTTTCACGTTACACTATCATTCATCATTGACTATGTTTTGGAAAAATTTGCTGTTTCAATTTTTCTAATACTTTTTGACATTTATGTCTCAATTTGAAGTTTAACAAGTTTAATCAATGAAATTGAATTAATAGTTGAATTGATTAATGATGGGATTCTAGTTGATTCACTGGATAGACTTTTGTTTAATGAAAGTGATGAATGATGACTAAATGCAAATTGATTAACTTATTGAAGTTGAAAGTTTAATATTGAAGTATAGAGAGCAAAAAATGATCAATTTTTTGGTTATCGAATGAAATGAAAGATGAAATTCTTGGGCAACTTTTTTTCTTTCTTGTTTTTTTCATCATCTTTTACTTCAACTTATCATCATCACCATTATCAGGATAAATGAATTTCCGATCGGAAGATGAAGATGGAAGAGAGAAATATGTAAATATGTACATGAAACATGGAAGTTTATCATGAATAGTAAATGGAAACAAAATGAGAAGTAAAAAAAGGAAAGAATTGAATAAATCTCGTTGAAATAAAAAAGTTGATGAAATGTATCAGAGTGATTGGATAAGATGAGAAGCAATAAGAATAAATTAGATTGGATGAATAAAGATAAAGGGTTAAAATGAAGTTATTACTTACCATGTCAAGATCACTTATTTTACTGATGCTTCTTAGGAAGATGTTTACCATAACAACACAAGGACCGTCTAATTGTTATGATTAATGATTAAATTTGATTGTTGGTCAAAAAGAAAAGTAAAAGAAGAAGAAAAAGAATTATTAGCTTCATATTTCATCCTTTTAATCACTTTTGCATCATAAACTGTTCTTCGAGTGAAACATTATCGAGACAATTGAATGAAATCTGATGATAATCTTTGATATTTTTCCTCTTTCTGTTCACTTCTTTCCTCATCTGTTGACTGGTTTCATGAGATTAATCAAAGCAATTAGAAGGTCGTTAATTGTGAACAATTTTTGGAAAACGATTGCGACTAATTGGTCTTTTCAAATGAAGTGAAACATTTTTTCATGCTTTTCTGATAACTCATTCAATTAGATGTTGTTATTGCTATCAATAATTGTTTGACTGAAATTGTACCTTACCATCTCCTTCATCTGAATCTGAGTCGCTCGTTGAAGTATTGTATCCACTTGGTCTTATCCTATTGTCGTAACGGCCATCGCCAATTATTTCGTCGAGAATTTTCTTCTCTTTGGTTCGTAAATTGGAATGACTTTTGGAGTTAGGTAAATCAATGTGGGATCCACGGTTAATGGCAACTCGATTGGTTGCACTTGGGCACAAGTTTATCGTGAAAACAGCCAAAGTCATTGCAATCTCAAACAACATTGCCAAACATTTACAAAACTAATAGCACAAACGATAACTACTCTTAAACTGGCTTCAAGTAAACTTTTGGCTTACTTAAACATCAAACTAACAACCATGATCCAAGCTATATCAAACTTATTCAGTAGGGTTTCATGCTATCAGGTGTCACCTGTTGGTCAGATTTGACATCATCTCTATTCGAATTAAGTTCTGTTGAATTGAAAACTACTCCGGAGGAAATCTTGTTAAATTGAATTGTTAAATAGAAATCGAGATTTCATTAGTAGCTATTGGTGCATTCCACCTTCGCAAAGACCAATATAATGAAATCAGCTGCCACCTTGTCGATTTTGGAATTTTATTAAGATTTTCGAAACAAATTGTACTCTCTTTCATGGGATCTGCAGTGTTTTATTAGATGTATCTATCAGGTTGGCTGGATGCAAGCATTGAAGATTGAAAATTTATTTTATAAAATCTTATGTGATTATCGCACAGAGATGAATGTTGAAGTTAACATCTTACAACATGCATGAATTTTTTGCAATCAACAAAAATTGATATTCAGATTTGATTGAAAAAAGAGAATTTTTGTAACGCAAAATGAAACTTAGCGAAATTATGGACTTGCCTAACGGCCATTAGATTTGACAAGTTGGTTAAATTTTCATTGAAAGTCCTGTGCCTATGTTTAATGGGCGTTTTTTCATTTTCGCCTTTATGCAGACATAATCCAGGCTAGTGCTACAGACCTCAGACTTGCATCAGTTTATTCAGTTTGCACAATCATAGGTTCGAACGCTCAAGGTTATTCAAGGTCAATTCTTTATTTTATTCTTTATTTAACCTCTAATTGACATTGAAAGGTCATTTTTAGAAATCGCAAAATTTTTCTGACCCGATAATGCTAGGTACATGTTCATAACTCATACTAGCTTAAGGATATGAGTGCTTCCATACCATTCAGTTAATCAATCTCATTTGGGAAAAGTTATTTATCTTTCCAATGATAAGAGTTATGAACATGTGACTAACATTAACCTGACAGAAAAATTTTGCGGTTTCAGAAAATAACCTTCCAATGTCAATCAGAGGTCAAATAAAGAATTGACCTTGAATAACCTTGAGCGTTCGAATTTATGGGGTTTCAATCTGAATCAGCTCATGGTTAAGGTCCAAGGTCTGAAGCACTAACCATTCCTGAGTTATGCCTGCATGAAGGCTGAAAATGAAAAACGCAAGGTATACTCAAAAATTAATAACCCTGTTGAAAGAAATGTTGAGTTGATGCTGAAGCGTTTTATTCCGCTAAAGGAAAGGTGACAATTGAGGGTTTACTGAACCAAGTTACAATTTAGTCACAATATTAATATTAGAGTCACAATGATGAAATCTAATTACAAGTTTTATATTGGGTTAACTTAACTTAGGTGGCTCGGGCAGAAGACGGTGTTAGGTTCAGTAAACGTTACTAAAGTGCATAATTTCGTCAAGTCTCTGTGTAGGCATTACGTTCGCGGTCCTTCTCGACAATATCAACATCACAGGGAAAATCAATTAACCAAAGGCGATCTTAACTAAGGCAATGTTCGAGGATTACTCATCCTAACCTTATCTTAAATATATCCCCATGAAAAATAATTTATTTCAATCAGTCTTTGTTCATTGATGGCCGAGACTTTCTTTTTGATACTTTTTCTATCTCAACTGAACCAGTTGTCTTGAATTTCATGAACAGGGCTGAAATTTTCTTTTGAAATTTTCCTCGATATTGCTTTTCCATTTTGCCTCAATTCTCTGTTAACGGCTTCAACACGATCAACATCAGTACCATAGAATGAATAAACCATTAGATGAATCGTGATGACAAGAGTTTGAATGCAATATTATTCATTTTCAATCAAATATTTGAAAAATGTTTTTATTTGTTATTTTTTATTCTTACTTCACCATTCGCACTTTGTTACAATTACCGTGACTTCTAAATAAACTTGTCTTCCACTTACAATCAAGTTAGATTCAGGATTGATCTGTTATGTTCAAATCTATTCTTAAATCTTTGGTGAAAGGCTTAGAATGGTCGCCTTATTCTCCCGACCTTAATTCAATGATTTTTTGTGGCTGAAAGGTGCAAGTTTATCGATCAGCTGAGGATGCTAAAAAGTTCAGAATGTCAATGCTGCTAAAAGTGAATCCAAGATGATGAGATGAAAAAAGGATTAGGATAAACGGATAAAAGAGTTGACTTTGATGATGAAGACGAGTTGAGTTCAAATGCCCTCGATTTAACTCCATCAAAAGTGCCTTTCAATGCTTCATTTTTTTGCTGGAAGAGCTCTTGCGTTGAGAGGCAGAGAAGAGCATCGAGATTTGTGCATTGAACGACTCAAGTTTAAAAAAGGAACAGATGATAAAAGTTTTGTTCAATTATGACAAAGTTCTTGAAAAAGTATTTACAATTATGATAGAAATCAAAATGTTAAAAGCTTTCATTATTAATATAAAATTCTTATAAATGGCCTGATTTATGGTATGTATGGTATAATGCATGAAAGTTGGCCTTGGAAAACTGAACCTTTTTACCGTAAACCCGTTGAATGTCACGGTAATTAAATTTTCTAAACAACCCGTTAGTATCAATACTTTGGGCAACAATACATAAAATAAGTTTTTGTAAAATTGAGATTTACTTATCCTGCTCTCACTCAGGTGGCACCACCTTGACCAGATCTCAACCTCCCAGTTTTTCAGATTCGTGACTTAATACATTTTGATTAATTCAAACTCGACAATCAGACGAAGTTAAAAAGCATACAAAATACCAATTAATCGATTTCTTATAAATACTTCAAAATGTTGCATTTAATACAGTTGACCATCTTTTGCAGCAAAACAAAAAATGATGAGCAGCAATAACTTAACCCTTTAATCAAGCCCTTTTCTGGACAGTCGAGTCTTATATCATTTACTGTTAGATCAATTCATAAAACTGTCACTATCGCACTACAAAAGAAAGAAAGTCAATTCTCAGGGAATTATAATTGAGGGTTTAGCAGGTGATAATTTTGATGAAAAAAAGTCTTGATTAAATTGTTCATTTTTCATGTTGATGTTGCCTTTGAAAAGTTCATCTCAACATTAATTATTCATTAAATGAAAAGCTTATCAAAAAAAATTTGATATTCATATTGTAACATTTTTTAAGCAAAAAATGCTTTGACTGATAATTAATTGATTTGATTATTGATTGTTCAAGAGAAACTTGAACTCGAGAAGATGAAAGAAAAGGTATTAATTTATTCAAAGTTTTCAGTCAATCCTTCAAGTCATCCCTAACAAATCATCAATTGATCAGATTTTAGACATTAATGATGATGGAAGAAGAAGAATAAAGAAAAGTATAAAACATGGTGAGAAACAATTGAAATTCAAACTGAGCAGTGAAACTTGAATGAAATGAAATTCACGCAGACTCAAGTAACCATGTTTTTCCTCCTTGTTAGTGAGTTAAAGAGCTACTTGGTTGTCGGTTGTGTGATTTAATACAGTCAGCAACCACTCAATGAGAGAGACTCAACCATTGAGATCAACATTATCAGCAATCATTTTATCCCTTTAAACACTGTAAGTTTGTTTACACTGACAAAGACAGCGTACAAAAAGTGATGAAAACACACAAAGCAAGCCAACAACAAAGTGCCCTTAAAACTAACCTAAATCAACCAAACAGCAAACACTTTTCCACCTAAAATTCAAGTTTGATAAACCCATTAATTCATTATTTTTTTCTGTTCATTTTTGCAAAATTGTTGAACCAAGAAGAAGAACCAAAAAGAACCCAAAAAATAAAGTAGTAAACCTCTCGAAATCGAAACGTCTAAAGCTCGAAATTAAAGTTATCCTTCAAGTTGAACATAATTGTGCTGCTAGTGTTTCATGTGAATTCACTTGTGTATCGTGTATTTTCAATTTGATTAACCCAAACGTCGTAACCAAAACAAAAAGGAATCAAAAAGGTTGACCAAAAGAAAAGACCTTTAGTCGATAAATTACGAAGGTAAAAGATGACCAAAAAGATGACGTCGGTTTCCATATTATATCATCACTGTATTAAACGATTAAAATGATGGATAAAAATGTTTACCTCTTTCCTAGTGAATAAATGATTAAACATGAATACAGCATCGATTGGTTATTATAACTCAAGTGGAATTGCCTGGAGTCCTGGTTATCTGTTTACCAGTCCACCATCATCGATTCATCTTTCATCATCACCTTTGTTACTCTCACCTTACCCATCACCATCATCTTCACCACTCTCATCTTCACCGTCACTCATCCCATCAAGTGAAGTAAAGGTTAAATCATCCAACTCGTCTCTTGTTTTACCCTCAACAGAATCAACCTCAACCTCATCAAGCTCACCATCACCGTCAACCTCACCCTCATCATCGGCCTCTTTTCATTCTTCTCATGCTCATCACCTTTTACACCATCCAACGACAACAACCACATTACTATTGTTACCTCTTTCATCCAGCTCATCCTTTTCCTCTTCACTCTCATTACCCTCAACTGAATCACTCTCATCTGATTCATCAACTTTATCACCGTTAACCGGCCACTTGCCGGTCACTTTTACCTCCACCTATTTTCCCACATCAAATAATACACTTGAAACAATGTCTACATCCTATTCTTCAGGGTCAACCCTGAGTCCAGGTGAAATGGGTGAAGTGTTTATCACCTGGCAAGAGGTGACAATATTGTTGCTTAAAATAATTGGCTGTGGATGTATCATTTTAATGGCCATCTTTGGTAATCTATTGATAATTATTAGTGTCTATCGTCATCAACGATTACGAATAACAACCAACTATTTTGTTGTCTCGTTAGCCTGTGCCGATATTTTGGTGGCTCTTTTTGCCATGACCTTTAAAGCCTCAGTTGCCATTACAGGTAAATGGTTTCTGGGTAAATTGGTTTGTGACTTTTGGAATTCCTGTGATGTCCTATTCTCAACGGCTTCCATCATGCATCTCTGCTGTATCTCAGTTGACCGTTATTATGCCATCATTAAGCCACTTGATTATCCAATGAAAATAACTAACCGAGCGGTTGCCATAATGCTGGCCGTGGTCTGGGTAAGCTCAACGTTAATCTCTTTTGTTCCCATTTTTACCGGCCTCTATACAACAAGTGAACACATTAATTATCAAAAAACCCATCCGGATGAGTGCTCATTCAAAGTTAACCTTCCCTATTCACTAATATCATCATCCGTCTCATTCTGGATTCCTTGTACTGTGATGTGTGTTACCTATTGGAGGATTTATGTTGAAGCAACCAAACAAGAAAAGATGCTCTACAAGCACACCCAAATGATACCCAAAGTCCAAAAAAGTCACCATCATCACCACCATCAACACCATCATCATCATCATCAGCAACAACAACAACAACAACAACAGCAACATACTCAAAACACCACAGGAGCCAGTACAGGCAGTGCTAGTGGTCCACCAGGCAATAATAGTAATAATATCAACAACAACAACAATAATAGTTCTAATAGTAATAATAATAATGTGACCTGTGAGAGTAGTTCAATTCCTTTAGAAACTGGTAATGGATCGTCATCATCAGGATCTCATATAACGGTCCATGCACCGCCACATCGCAACTCTCATGGTGATGACACTGAAAGTGGACAATCAACGCCAACCAAACGTTGCATCAATAAAATGAAACGTGAACATAAAGCGGCCAAAACTCTTGGTATCATTATGGGAGCTTTCATTGCTTGTTGGTTACCCTTTTTTGTTACATATGTTACAACCTCAGTGTGCGGTGATTCTTGTGTTGACTTCCCTGACATTGTGGTTGACACTCTTTTCTGGGTGGGCTACTTTAACTCTGCCATTAATCCAGTCATCTATGCGTACTTTAACCGTGAATTTAGGGAAGCCTTTAAGGAGACAATACAGAATGTTTTCTGTTGTTGCCTTCAAGTTGAATGCCTCCAAGGTCCAAGGAATAATTCAGCGATTCACTTTAACTGTACCTACAGGTCAACCCAGGATATTGGTCTGGTTGAGAACAAGTATGTAAAAGATTGACAAATGGTTTAAATGGCTGGGAAAACAAACAACAAGAATCGCAAATGTCCCCAAAAATGGACTCGAACATGAAGAAGCCAAAAGTCTGTCAGAGATGAAAAGCCATCAACACCAGAAAACAACATCCAACATCCTTTCCTCTTTAACCTTGTTTCGTTTCATTTCGAGTTGAACTCATAATCGTTTCTTGCCTTCTTCATGGAAACGGCACAAACAAGTAAGAGAGAAAGTCAACCAAAAAACAAACCAAACTCTGAACACCCAACTTCGAAGACGAAAACTGAATGCACATAATTGTTGTATTATGTGTGATATAACTATATTCAGCCCGTAAAATTGAAGTGAACCTGACATTTTTTTACATCATTTTTTCATTCAACATCAATTAGCATTTGATTGCTGTTTTCAGGCAAAAGGCAAAACGTTATCATTTATTGCCATTTGCGTCTTTTTTGCCCTTTAATTGATCAACAAGAGAAAGTGTTTGATCAATATTGAATTTGCTATTTGAATAAAAAAAAGAGAGAAAAAGAAATGTAAAGTTTTACTAAAAAATGGCGTTTCACTTCACTTTTTTTTCTGGGCTGCGTATATTTATACATATAAATATATATATATATTAATTACATATACATACGAAAATAAAATATATATATAAACACACACATATATATATTATAATTACAGTAATAATGAAAATTATAATTATTAAATTACAAACGATGAAAAATGATCACTTTGCGTTTCTTTTTCTTTAACTCACTTTTCTTATTTGCTTGTTATTTCCTCGTGGAAACGCGAAAAAACTTCCTCTTGAAATGTTCAAAGGTTAAGACGATCAGTGACAAAAAGTCAATACGAATTGATAGACAGAAAAGGTTACGATAAAGTGCCAACGAAAAGTGAATCAAAATGTTTGTGCTAAAAAAAGGAAAACTGTCAAAATTAGAAAACCCAAAAACTCGAAAAAAAAACTATTTCTATTAACGAACCTTTTAGTGGTTAGACAAAGAGTCACCGAAATTTTGTATCTTTTGAGTCATCAATGAACGAAGCAATGAGTTCAAAAATATCAAGGTTAGAAAAATCGAAATTTGAAAATTCGAAAAAACGATTTCTTTTCGAACCATGGATTGATGAAGCTTTTTGTGATTAGACGAAAGGTGATCTAAGTTTGTTGCTTTCTCATCTTCGGTTGTTAATGAACGAGTCAAGCTGGCAATGATTGAAATTAGAAAACTTAAAAATTCGATAAAAATAATTTCTTTTTGAATCATCGATTTACATTGAATTTTTCAGTGATTAGACGAAGTACGATCAAGTGTCTTTTGCCTTTAGTCAACGTTTATGTCTTTTTAGGTGCAATTACAATTTATATATTTAAATGAAAGTGAAAACAAAAAGACAGTAATAAACTTGATAACCTTGTTGTTGTTGTTGTTGATGTTGGAAAGGTCGAACTGAGATGAACGTGCTAAAGATTGAAATGAAATTGAAGCTCATAAAAAGAGCACGGAAAAACGATGAGCGAAGGTTACAGTGAAAAAATATAAATAAAGAGAGAAAATGAAACGTTTTAATTTCTTGAAACTTGATAATCTTGTTTTCATTATTTTTTCCCTTTTACTTTTACCTCAACAATTAATGATTTCATTTAATTTCACTCTTTTGCACTCAACAATTTCACGCCATAATATTCGTGATATTTATTAGAAAACTCATTTTCTTGTCTTTCTTTTTGTCAACAACGAAAGGTTTACTTTTTTAATTTAACTCATTTGATTCATTTCTCCATGTTATTTAATTTTAACTTTTAATCTTGAGCCTGACGAGCTATTAATAGATTTATAAGGCTTTGGCTTTTTGTCGCCATTTCCACCATTTTCATACTTTACTGTTGGAAAAACTTATTTTTAGGATTTTCTGGGCTTCTTCACAGTTGCATTATTTTTCATTTTTAAATTTGTTCACTCAAAGCTTATTCCATGGTGAATAAGATTGTCTCATGATTTGCTAATTAACTGTCGAGGTTAACAATTTTAAGGTTCACATTGATTCAGTGTGTATTCATGCAAGCTTTTCATCAGTCAAATTGCACCTGAATCAAGGCTGGGAACACCTGATATGAATTGTAATCAATGTTTTCCCATGGAAGAGCCGTTATTTGGTGAAAATTATCTTTTCAGAGAGAAAAAAAGATTTCTTCTTCTTCTTCTCTCTGAATCGCGATATTGATCATGGCAAAGTGGTTATTGCAAGAAAAGAATGAAACTCAGTGGAAATGATGATAAAGATGAGGGACTGAGCAAGGTTATCGACCAATGTCCATTCAACTAGAATTTGAAAAAAAAACAATTTCTTCTTCCCACTCATTATCATGAAAAGTGAAAAATGAGAAAATGAAAGCAATGATGAAAATTGTTGGAAAATGTTGTTCAAAGACAATTGACTTTTTCCCTTTAACATTTTCTTCTCCATCATCCTTCAACTCATCATGATCATCCTCATCATCTTTATTACCAACATTTAAAGCTGCTTTTCATGGATTCTTCTCTCTTCTCTTCTTTGTAATATTACTTGAGCGTATAACACAAAAGCTATATCAACTTACTTTCATGACTGGAAGCAAACTCCATCATAAGGTGTTCCAGTTTAAGGATGAAAAACATGGAGAGAAGAGTGAAGATCAAATGGCCTTAAATTAAACAAAACATTTCCAGACTGTCTTTTCCTCTCTGTCTATTCCAACAGTAAATGAACATTTGCCCTAAAGTATACAATGAAATCATGATTATATTGTTCTAATCGAAAGAAACCAACACAATTTCCTGAAGAAGAATGAACCATTTTTATTTATCTTCTGATTGTGTTCAGTTTTTTTTTCGTCATCCATTTTCTTTTTCCAATGCATTTAATTTGATAAGTGTTGACCATTAGCTTCGTTTGTCAATTTGATATCAAACATCATTAATTGTTACCTTTCAATGTTTACTTTTACCTTCTCGCGTTGATAAACTAATTAATTTATTCATCAAAGTCATTGCTTTTCAAGTTTAACTCTTTTTTTTATCTTCTTGCTTTCACTTTTACATTGCTTTTCATTGTTCTCATGAGCATGAATAAGCTTATCCTTGAGACGCTGAGCGACTCATTGAGAGTGAAAAACAAAAGAAGTTTTTGCTGTTAATTGAATTTAATTGAGTTATTCAAATACATCTATTCAACAATCAAGGAATCTTAACAAATTTCCTCCCTTTTCTCCTTCACTTTATCATGGGTGAGAAAAGCTTGAGCAATGAACAAGTTCAGGAAAAGTTGCGCACAAGAAGCACTTCTTTAACCTCAAGTAAATACTAATTATTAATAGTTAAGATGAACAAACCTCGTGTCCAAGGCAATGTCTGAGGGTCAATGAATCAACTCCATGTTAACTCACAACTAGATGTACAACAATGTTTAACAAGAGTTGAATGGCTGTTAGATGAAAGGCTATTTAATGAGACTACAATTGAAGAGTTGAAATATAATTTCAAATGAAATCAACTTTATCCAATCAGTTTCAAGATGAAAGGTTACTCTTCATTTGCATAAATGTTGGGTTAATGTTTTAATCATTTGCATGTTTGTAGTTGAAAGAGGTGAATGCAAATGAAAGAGAAAAACTATTTTTGAAAATATTTTTTGTCAGGTTTGTGATAATGAAAAAATCGATACTTCAAGTTGAACAATTCAAACAGTGAACACCTATTTTTGAAACATGTTTATTGGGATCAAAGCAACTATGGTCATCGAAGCAAGTGATTATCAAAAAATGATTTCATCAATTTTTTACATTGATAATGCAAAATGAACCAATAAAGGCAAATGCAACTTTGAGTCAGACAAGTCAATTAGTTGAACCTTGAGTCAAACCTTTGAAATCAGTTAAACTATGAGTTTTGTAATGTTCAACCGACTTAAATCAACTTTTGTCATCAAAGTATATCCATGTAAGTCAACACTTTATCTGCTCATCTCAAAAGGGACAAGAGTTGTTCAATGTGACATTGCTTTTCCCTCTTATGACACATCATTCAACCAATGCCAATTAACCCCTTTTAGGATTTCAATTTAAACGTATTAAGACACAGACATCAAGTTGATCGTTTAAAATTACAGTTATACTTTTCACTCAACAAATCAATTGTGTGTTTTGTATGACCTGACACTTAATAGCTAGACAGAGATTTGTGACTCTTGTGATGAAAATTGTCACTTTTCAGTGACTCCAATAGATTACAATGTAATATCCTCACTTGAAAGTGCCTAAACATCAGTAACCGCGCACCGTTATCAAAAGCAAAATAAGAATCTAATTATTTTTTGCCCACTACAATATAAACCCGAAAAAAATTGGAAAAGATCAATAGCCACAATCGTGTGTCGCAGCAAAGCCATGAATAAATGAAGCATTTTGATCTGTTAAAAATTTTTCTAGAGTGTGATCTGATTCCATTGTCGATCGCAAAACGGAAAGTGATCTACCTTCATAACAAAAGAGCAAAATGCTTGAGAGATTTCATTTTTGTGCAGTGTTCGCGCGTTTTTTACATGTTGATAAGATTAAGCATTATGCTGAAAACAAAACCATCGATTGCGATTGAAAGACGACTACAGATCAGTCATCTAATGACCATCTAAAACAAAAAAAGCCAGCTTCTGACATCAAATGTTTCGAAATACGGAATCTGCGTTTTTATTTATAATTTCTTTTACTTTCGCTCTTACGAATATTGCGGTTTTGAATTTGGTTTTTCTTATGCTCAATCAAATGTTTCATTATTCTGAGCCCAGGCCATTTATTCAGCATTGTATATTGTATTGTATTTATCTGAAGAGCATTCATAATATGTAAATTAGCCACGAACGAACGAAAAAACCAAAATATTCGAAGACAAGACAATGGATTATGATAAAGAAAACAGTGTTTATTTTGAACAAGGCAATGGAGCTCTGAATCAATTCTTCAGCCAACACTATCATCAGGCTTTCCAATGACCAACATAAGTTGTACTGAACTACAATAAACTTGACTTCCATCTCAATCGATTTAAGTCTCACATAATAAAGACCAACAGGCAATGTTGAACCTTTAGTCGATAAGAACTTAATGATATTAAATAGATTGATGTTTCTTCGTTTTTCCATCGTTTTTCTCGATTATCTTCTAAAACTAATCAACAAATTTCCATCAATTGAAACAAAACTTGACCTCATTTTGGGTATTCCTTTCAATTATCGATTAGATTTACCAAAAAAAAGTTGATGTGAAACAGCAGCAAAAAAAGCGACTCACAAATAGACTTACATTCATCATTTCCATCTTGTTCCATTTTCTTTTGTATTTTTATTCCATCTTCATCACTTTCCCTGATTTCCGTTTTCAACACAAAATTTCCTCTCAAAGTAAAAAAACTAATCAATTCTTAATGTAGCCTAATATCATATATCCTGCCAAACAGATATGAAAACCCTTTCAATA